GTACTATATATATATCCCGTACATCTTTTTTATTCATTTATATAATTATAAGGCTGGATATATGGCCTTAAAATTGTGCACCCCGTGCATCGCACGGGCTCTGTACTAGTTATCTAAATTACCATAAATTTGATATTGATATTTTAGTTTTCTTAAAAGCCGTATTGTATTGTAATGATTGATTTCCCTTATATTAATTTTTAAAGTGTTTTAAATTTATAACATTTAATGATTTTAAATATAAATTAATATATACAAATGTAATATTTTTTAAATTTATTTTATATATTAATTATTAATTGTGAAATTCATATGTAATTTTTTATTTACAATATCATAATAGTGTTCAAACTTCATATATACTTTACTAGTATGTAAACCGTGCGATGCAGGGGCTAGTACATGTTTTGGAAAATTTTAAAAAATTATAAGGTCATTAATTAATAAGTTGTTATAATACGTATGACATTCATAAAGTAAACATAAAATCGTCATTGGTAAAAAAGTTATACATTATTAAAAACCTCCTTATATACAACGTTATTAGTTTGATTATTGTGTAACTCATCGTCCCCACAAACTAATAGTTTCAACCCCTTCCTATTAGTAATACGTGAAACAGCGACGTATAACTGACCATGACTAAAAACAGGTTTTTTCAAGAACAGTCCAACATGTGATAAAGACTGACCCTGACTTTTGTTTATGGTCATGGCATAGGAAACCATAAGGGGAAATTGCCTCCGTTGGAACTTAAATGGAACCCTAACATCAGAAGGAGTTATATTCATTCGAGGAATCAACACCTTCACCTGCGTGATCTCCAGTCAATATCCTACATTCAAGAACATGCGGAGAGAGCTTCGTAACAATCAAAACGTGTGCCATTACACAGACCCATAGAATGGTCCATGTTTCGCAACAACATGAACGGAGTTCCTATATTCAAATGCAACTCATGGTTCGGCATTCCCGAACACTTAATGCTATTCAAGAACTCGGGTGTGTGGAGATCAGCCAAAAAGCCATTGTCGGAATCCGACTTAGACGTACTGTCAGAGCTCAAATATGTACGACCTTCAACAGAATTCATATCCGACATGTATTGATTGATAGACTCAACGACCTCCAAAGTAGGCGCTAATATAGCTCTGTCCTGCAAATAACTTGGATCGCCAGTTGCATTTTTGAACATTGGATAGGTACTTTTGACGATTGTAGCAATTGGATCATCTGAGGTTTCCAATCGTATATCCTCTAGAATGTCAATCGCGTCACAACCGTCATTTGATCCTCCTACAGTCCCATCTCCGATGCTCGCAATCCACTCAACAAATGTTGTTAGCTCATCACGTTCGTCTACATCTGAAATGCTCTGAAGACGCATGTTCTTTGTAAGTCGCAACACAGTACAATTCCTCCAAATGTCAGAAGAATTAATAATTGCATTCACAATGTCCTGACGACTCCCCTTTGGAATCACTGGAAGTATTTGTCGAAAGTATCCACCAAATACAACAGGTTTGCCCCTGAATGGCTTGTTACTGTTGGAAGGGTCAACTGCTCCCATAATAGCCTGCAATGATGTTTGGACAGCTTCGAAGCAATGTCTGTGCATCATCGGCGCCTCATCCCATATAATGAGAGAGCATCGTATTATAAGTTCCGCAAGAGGACTTGCCTGGTCGATATCGCAGGATGAATTTTCATGAATACTCAGCGGTATGCGAAATCGAGAGTGTGCAGTTCTTTCACCAGGAAACAAAAGAGACGCTATTCCACTTGATGCGACACATAAAACAATTTTACCCTTCGATCGTAACCCCGCAGATAACGTTCACAAGTAGGTCTTCCATGTCCCGCCATATCCGTATACAAAAAATACACCACCATTAGCAGAATCAACAGCGTCCATAATCTTTGAATAAACATTCTTCTGTTCGTCGGTCATTCTACTAAGAAGTGCTTCGTGCTCTACAGATAAAGCCTTCCGATCATAATTTAGCTCATCCAATATTAAGCGATTCAAAGTAGAGTTACTATGATCTCTGACTGGATAAGACATGGATGAATAATCACGAAAACTTGTGCCGCGCCTTTTCCTACAATTTGTTGTATTTTCTATTGAAGTACAACAACTAACAGTTGGTTTACAATTTATATTAGAATCTACATCAATGCAATTATTAATAATTGTTAAAATGTGTATCTGTCATTGTTAAGTATATATATTTGTTTATCTAATGGTTCGCAGTTATTTTAATGATGAATTATTAGTAAAGATTATAATATCCCGATTAAACAACATGTATTAAAATAATGAAATCGTCATTAAAATAATTAAATCATCGTTTCAATCTGAGGAATATTTAAAGACAATGGATTAAAATTAAATTTAAAAAATCATACGAAAGCAGTGCAACAATTCATATCAAATCCAAAAAATATGAAAACTAATTAATTTTTATAATTGTTCCAAGCTTAATTATTTATTCGTAGGGAAATTTCCATCGTATTAGAAAACAATAGTCCTGCTATGGAGCACAAGCATCCACCGGTGATTGGTTTCCTTGTACATCCCATTATTAATTTCAACGTCGTAGTCCCTGAGTGCATATATATCGCCTTGCTTAAATACACCTCGAAATGCACGAATATGCGCAGAATATATACAATATGAAGTTATACAAAATAAGTTAAATAATAAAATCACGGATGTTAATAATATAGATATAACATATCAAAATATTACCTCACGATCTATAAAAGATGATCTCAAAGAAATTATTGGACTCCACGTCAAATTTCATCTCAATAATTAGAATGACTCTCAATATCAAATAAGGTTTATTGGACCTATTAACAGCATGGAGTGTATCAAATAACTCTCTCATTTTTTTAATATTTTCCGGAAATTCTATGCGTTTTTTTTTATGGACAGGAATTGAAAAAAGTTGATAAAATATGGTATCTATATATATAGGAATCAATTAATATATATTAATTTCAAATAATTTAATTGTTGAGAGTGGCTTTTAATTACAAACTTATAGAAATGGAATAAAAATTGGATGGTATAGGATTTTGGGTATTTTTAGGAATGTAAATACTAATCTTTACATGAGAGTCCAACTTTAATTAATTGATGAATTGAAATATTAATATTTATTTTTTTGTTGGCAGACTGTACAAAAATTGCATGATATGCGGCCACAAAATGTATCTTATGGATTTGTATGCTTGAATTATCTTGTAGAAGATATAAACTATTTTTGTATTAAATCTGCAAAAGTATAAAACGTGTTGAATATGAGATTTATTCCATAATGGCGTGAAAAAAATGATGGCGTGAAAAAATATTTTTTATTCCATATTGGGTATGTACGTTCCTTATCAGAAATAATGGCGTGAAAAAATGATTTTTATTCCATTCCTTACAATAATTAATGTTAATCGGGGATAATTAAGTGTGGTTTTATGAAATTATGTTAAATTACTATTTATAGACAATAATTAATGTTTTTAGCGAGAAATAGTTTCTAAAAATTTATTAAGTTAATCTTTATTATATATTAATAGATTTACGTCAGGACGTAATTTTTAAATATTTTTCATATTCAGTTTTTGTCAATACTCAATTTCTACATTTTCTCCAATCTATAAAAACAATATAATAAAATCCTCCCTATATATAATTCTTGAATGCGCTGAGCCTACGTGGCTATTTCTGGTGCTTCGTAATCCTACTTGGCAAAGAATCATGCTTCGTAATTAGGTTTGGACACATAATATTAATATATTAATAATTAATAATCTAGGTTCGGACATTCCATAAATATTATTTATCTAACTTAGGTATTTTACTATCATTTTACTATCATTTGTACTAACTTTGATTTGTTTCCTTCAATTAACTATTGAATTGTAAATGTATTTTAAAAGGTGATAACTTTTGTATTTCTTATCGGTTTTACATATATTATATATCAAATTAATTATCTTTTGATGATCTTCAATTTGACATCCATATTGTATATAGGAAATATTAAATTATATTTATCTTTATAATAATAAAGAATAATAATATTTATAAAATTTTATTAGAAAAATAAAATTCTTTATCAATTGATATATTTATTTTTAATGTCGTTATATGTTGTAAGTTAAAAATTATTATAATATGACACATGTAAGTCGCAAAAAAAAAGTGCATGTCATACAAAATATATAATAATATATATATATTTGTATAAGGTATTTAAAATTTTCAACTACTTTTTCTCATTAATTTTAGATTTTAAGAAAAAAATTAGCAAGCACCCGTGTAATACACGGGTGTTGTACTAGTGATTATTTATGGTATATCAATAAATTTAATTTTTTTATTTTATAGAATAATTAAGGTTTATTTGATATTTCTCATTTTAGTATAAAAAATACATTTAAATTTTATTTATAAATACATATGAAATAATTTTTGTATTATATATAGAATATGAAAATCAATCAAAAATCGTTAGAAGATAATTATTTTGATATATCATTTATGAAGAAATAAACAAATAGAAAATTTAAACATTTTAATAAGGAAAATAAATATAAATAAATCCCTCCTATATATAATTTTCGAATGCGCTGAGCCTATGTGGCTACTTCTGGTTCTTCGGAATCCTACTTGGCGAAGAATCATGCTTCATAATTAGGTTTGAACAAATAATATTGATATATAATAATTAATAATCTAGGTTCGGACATTCCATATATATTATTTAGCTAACATAGGTATTTTAATATCACTTATACACATATAACCCTTTAATTCTTTGTAATTTTACATAGTGAGGCACTAAGTGACTAATATATACCTGACTTTTGATTTGTTTCCTTCAATTAGCTATTGAATTATAAATGTATTTTAGAAGTTGATAACTTTTGTATTTCTGATTGGTTTTACATATATAGTATATCAAATTAATCATCTTTTCATGATCTTCGATTTAACATCCATATTGTATATATAAAATAAATAAATTATATTTATCTTTATAATAATAAAAAATAATAATGTTTATTAAAAATTATTAGGAAAATATGATTATTTCTCAGTTGGATATATTTATATTTAATATAGTTATATGTTGTAAGTTAAAAAAATATTATAATATAACACAAGTAAGTCACACAAATAAAAAGTGTGATACTAAATATATAATAATATATATTTTTTAATAAAAGGTATATAAATTTTTAACTACTTTTTCTCATTAATTTTAGATTTTAAGGAAAAAAATAGTAAGCACCCGTGTAATACACGGACGTTGTACTAGTAATAATTAATATATGAATGGAATAAGAAAATGGAATGTAGTGGATGGTAATTAATAAAAGAGAAAGGTAGTAAAATAATTCAAGAAAAAGAAAGGTAAAATAATTTTATGGTAATTTCAAACATAATTGTTAAACTAAATCCATACATACTAGTACAACATCCGTGTATTACACGAGTGCTTGCTAATTTTTTTCCTAAAATTTAAAATTAATGAGAAAAAGTAGTTTGAAAATTTAAATACCTTTTATAAGAATATATATATATATATATATATATATATATTATTATATATTTATTATGATACTTTTTATTTGTGCGACTTACTTGTGTTATATTATATTAATTTTTTACTTACACTATATAACTACATTAAATATAAATATATCAATTGAGAAATAAATTTATTTTTCTAATGAATTTTAATAAATATTATTATTTTTTATTATTATAAAGATAAATATAATTTATTTATTTTATATATACAATATGGATGTCAAATCGAAGATCATCAAAAGATGATTAATTTGATATATTACATATGTAAAACCGATAAGAAATACAAAAGTTATCTACTTTAAAAATAATTAAAGGGTTATATTAGTAAAAGTGATATTACAAATAATTACAAATAATTAAAGGGTTATATTAGTAAAATTACAAATAATTAAAGGGTTATATTAGTAAAAGTGATATTAAAATACCTAAGTTAGCTAAATAATATTTATAGAATACCCGAACCTAGATTATTAATTATTAATATATTAATGTTATTTGTCCAAACCTAATTACGAAGCATGATTCTTCGCCAAATAGGATTCCGAAGCACCAGAAGCAGCCACGTAGGCTCAGCGCATTCTGCAATTATATATAGGGAGGATATCAATACAAATCAAAAACTTGTGTCAAATAAGCTTCCAAAGTACGCGGTTTGCCATTTAGACTAAGCACCCTCGATAATTATAGCTTTTGCTCACCAAACCAAGACAAAAAAAAAGTAAATATTCTTGTCATAAGCATTGTTCTAAAAATCGGCCTAGGCGGTGCCCGGGCGCCTCCAAGTTGCGCAAATCGGCCAGGAGGCTAGGCGGCGCCTAGGCGGCCCTAGGCGCTCCTAGACGGACATGGCGGGCTCGGCGGCCAGGCGGTTAGGCGGACCTAGGCGCTCTTAGACGGGCTCAGCAGTAATTTTTTAGTTTTTTTTTTGTATTTTTTAAATATTAATTATATTATTTTGTTCTCATGTTTCTTTAAAATATATTAACTTTATTATTTGGACTTAGGTGTGTCAATTTATTATAAGTTGAGATAATTTTATTTTGTATGTAGTTAAAATAAATATAAAATAAGATATTTAATATTGATTTCTAGGCCCCGCCTAGGCACTCTAGGTGCTACGTGCTGGTCGAGCGTCTAGCGGACGCCTAGCGACTTTTAGAACACTGGTCATAAGTCACAAATCATAAGCAAGATTTGATATCTTCCTTAATTAATAACCCGACATTAACGAACACGCATCATAGTACACAACCTTCCTCATCAACTTCCCAATATTCACCATCACTACCAACATCAACCAACGAAGCCCGCGAAAAGCCCGGCCCGCCAACTACCTCGCCATCGTAGTACCTCATCAACAGCAGAGTCCCTCCCTACAGCACCAAGAGCCCGGTCCGACTGCCGCCTTCTTCCAACCCGACTCGGCTCGGCCCGACCCACTCAAGTTATTTGGAGCCAGCAGGAACCTCTCGACTCCGAACTTGTACCGAATGTCGAGCCTTCCGATGGTGTCCCTTGCACACGGTAGCTCAAAACCCCGTCGGCCTCCAACTGCTTCTCGTAAAAGGCTCCTTATCGGTATATCCGTTCGCCTGACCAACATGTCCTCCCAAAAAGTCCTCGGATTGATTCATGACGAGTTGGGTAGATGGATTGTCGGGTTTCTCATGAATATTGGGTATACCACCATCACGGAAGCCGAGCTTTGGGGCCTCCTCCAAGGAATTCAATCGGCCTGAGACTTGGGGTTCCGCCAAGTTATCCCCGAGACTGATAGTCAATGTGTGACGAGAATAATACTCGGAACTGGTGATAGTTTTGGAGCTAATTATGCGGTGGTCAAGACCATTAGCAGTTTGATTCAGAGGGGTTGGCGCGTGCGGGTCCAAAGTAACCTCCCTCTTCCGCTTCTGTCGCTCAAATAACTAAGTCGTTAAAATCTCCTAACACGTGCATAGGGAAGCTAATTTTGCGGCCGACTTTTTGGCGAGCCTGGCATTTTTCTCTTCGTTAGGTTTACAACGAGTATCGTTGCCCTTCACAAGAGTGGGTACTTGGCTTGACCACGATATTATCGGGATATCTCATCCTCGACGAGTTCTCGCCTCTTCTTTCTCTTATGCTTCTAGCCTTCTCTTTTGCATCGAAAAAAAAAAATAACTCATTTAATTCACTTTAAACCAAGATCTAATTTTAATCAATCATTACTGATTTTGACTCTCTAACTCAACCCGAGTTCACGAGTTAGTGTTTTTTTTTAAAAAAAAAAACAAAAAAAAAAAAATGCCAAACAAATTGTAGATAGATCTACTCGTGAAGGGACAACTCGAAATTGTGTGATTGTGTGATGAAGCATTAACCAAAATTATTGCTTATACTTCATAATAATACCAAAATCCACTCACATGACCATATCATGGCTTAATTAATAATTACACAATATGACAAGGAGTGTAGTGGGACCCTATTTAAATGTATTTAAACTAAAATATTATTTTAACATAATTAAATGTATAGTGATATATATAAACTAGTATGCGATGCACGAGACAGAAATATTAAATGAGTCATTTCCACAGAGCTTGTCCGTTAAGTAACTCGTGCGATCCACCAACTCATTTTTTTTTTCGTCGGGACATTAAACCTAAGTCTGACAGCGCTAGCCCGTAAATTAATTAATATATTATCTCGCTTACATGTTTATAATAATATAAATTTGATTCCATTATCTATTTTTTTCCTTGATATAAGAAAAAAAATTACATAATCTTGTTCCTCGTATAATACTTATATTATTTTATTATAAATTCTATTGTGTAATGTCATTATAATTATTTATACAATTGTAGTTGTAGCGTTCTTCTTCTTTTTGTTTTATGTAATTAAAATATTTAACGTATGTTAATATTATTTACTAATGTAATTAATTTAAATTATGTAAATAAATTTAGAGTAAAATATTTTGTACAAATATTTTACAAAATATAAACAAATGTTTTCTTAGAATTTAATTTTTTTTATATAATCAATAAACATCTTTTAAATTCTATGCAATTATTAAACATCCTTGATATAAAATCATAATTCATACATAAATTCTATGCAATTATTAATTCTGTCAGGTGTTATGGGAAACAAATCATTCAGAAATGTAACAAAATGATAAAGAATTTTAAAATTTAAATTTTAAATGAGACATGTTTTTACATGAATTCTATGCAATTATTATTTTGTAAGATTTTATAGCAAACAATTCATTCAGGATTTTAATGTAACAAAATGATAAGAAATTTTAATAACTAAATTTAAATTTGAAATGAGACATGTTTTTACTTGAAGTCTATTTGTACAATTTTATTGCAAAACACATCAATTAAGGATGAAATTAATGCAGACCAATTTTTTAGCTATAAAATAATATTACAATTGAAAAAATAATGGAAATAAAATGCATTAATTGTCTTTGACTTTATTTCTTACTAATTCTAGTAAATGTGATGACTTTTTATATAAGTATAGATATTCTTGATGAATATTAGACTTTATTTGAACTGTGAGAGAACTTTTTGTACCAAAATAAATAAATAAAAAAAAAATATGTGAGAGAATTTTGGAGGCGAATAAGTTTAATTAGCTTTTCCATAAACCTTATTCGTAAAAATGGAATAAGTATAGTATTTGAACTCATAGGGGTGTAAACAAGTTGAGTCGAGCGAGCTCGGCTTGTTAACTTAAAGAGCTTATAATCAATCTCAAGTTCTGCTCGTTTAATAATATTAACGAGGCGATCTCGAGCCTTAAAGAGCCACAATCGAGCTAGACAAAAACATAAAATTCATATTTTCGACATTAACGAGCTGAACCGAGCTCGACTCATTAGCTGGACTAGCTTTAATTGAGCTCAAGTTCGGCTCGTTTATCAAAGGAGCCGAATCAAACTCAAGCGTTAACGAGTCGAGCCTCTGCTCGTTTAATAATATTAACGAGCCGAATTCGAGCCTTAAAGAGCCAGAATCGAGCTAGACAAACCGAATTCGAGCCTTAAAGAGCCAGAATCGAGCTAGACAAATACATAAAATTCATATTTTCCAACATTAACGAACCGAACCTAGCTCAACTCATTAGCTGAACGAGCTTTAAATGAACTCAAGTTCGGCTCGTTTATCAAAAGAGTTGAGTCTAACTCGAGCGTTAACGAGCCGTACCGAGCTCACGAGCGGCTCGTGTAATTTAATAGCTCTAGGCGACATGTGCAAAAGAGTAAATTTTTGGATGACTGTAAAAAATAAGTTATTTCAACAGTAAGGGAGTTTAATTAATTGTTGAATGATTTTTTAGTATGGACCACATTGCAAGTCGATACGAAAACATAGTCATCATCAAACTCTCATCTGCACAAACTTGTGCTGTAAAATAAGATGCAAACAGTCAGACTCCCACAGTTAGTCTTTCACATAAACCTGCTAAAAAACTTGATATTCCATGCAAGCTGAAAAACACAAGTAACAGAAACATTTCTCCAAATTTACCCAAAAAAAAAAAAAAAAAATCCCCATTTTCCTTTCTACCTCGGACCCGAAATTTGCTCCGACGACACGTCCGACATCCTACAACTCTCCGCACCACCAATCGCCTCGCGACACGTGTCAACAACCCGATCAACCTCCACACCCGCGGGCCCACCCTGATTAAACGTCCGCCCGTAAAACCTCAAAAACTCCAAACCCTCCGCTCTCGGCTCCCCCACCGGCATCTCCCCTTCCAACATCCCCACCACATTAACCATGCTCGGTCTCCACCCGGGCTCTTGGTCAACGCAGCACAATGCCACGCGTACCAACTTCCCCACCTCCTCCCCCGTCACCCGACCCTTCAACCTCCGATCCACGAGCTCCAAATACCTTCCCTCCAAGTGCATCTCGAGCGCTAACAACGGGAAGAAGAAAATCCCATCACTTGCCCTCGGCAAACAATTCTTCCTCCCGCTCACGATCTCGAGCAGCACCATCCCGAAACTATACACGTCGGTCTTCTCCGAGACGGTCGACCTCGTGAGCCACTCCGGCGCGAGGTAGCCTCGGGTCCCACGCATCGTCGCGAGCATGCTCGACTCCTCGGGCCCGAGGAATCTTGAGAGCCCGAAATCGGAGATCTTGGCCCGGGAATGGCTCGAGTCGAGTAAAATATTCTCGGGCTTCACGTCGCAGTGGACGACCTTGGGCTCGCACCCGCTATGGAGGTACGCGAGCCCGCGGGCCGAGCCATTGGCGATCTTGGCCCGTTCCCTCCACTCCAAGACCGGCCCGTTACCAAAAAGAGCCCGGTCGAGCGAGCCTCCGCTCATGTATTCGTACACGAGGAGCCACTCTTTTCGATGGATGCAAAAGCCTTTTAGTTTCACGAGGTTTACGTGGTGGATGTTGCCGATTACAGCAATTTCAGTGCAGAAGTCCCGTCGGCCCTGTGGGCCGATTTTGGCGAGCCGCTTTACGGCGACTTGATTTTTGTCGGGAAGGGTGGCTTTGTAGACGGTTCCGTATCCGCCCGTCCCGATTTTCGTCTCGAAATTCATGGTCGCGGCCTCGAGCTCCGTGTAGGAGTACCGTAGGGGCAAACCGGGGATAGAGAATTCCATGCCCTCGAAGGATGAGGAGAAAGAATACGAGCGGGAGTGACTCGGTGGTGTTGTATCTTGGTTGTTATAGACTCTCGGGTGCCTAAACCTTCTCCACAAGAGAAAACCAAGGGCAAAGATAAAGATGGCGGCAATTGACGGTAGAATCACAAAAGCTCCCGGAAAACTCACATCGTTGTTGTTTTTGTTGTAACCGTCGAAACCCGTTGATTGTGGTTTGACTATGGTCTTGACGAAGCCTAGACGTGCATTACTACTAGACTTCAGCATAACCGATCCCACATTGTTTTCGAGCGTGTAACAAGAACCGGAAGAGTTATCGTAGAAAATCCCCAAGCACGCGCAATTGTTCGAGCACAAATCCTCGCACCGGGACAAATTCGAGACAAACACAACAGGCGAATTGAAATCGTTTGCAAAGTAATCGACATCATTGCCAAGCGGCAAGTAAGAAACATTTGCAGAGGAATTCGAATTATTACTTACATCATGGGATGATGATAAATTGCACGAAATTGATAACGAGTGAGAAGCATCGCTTGGGATGCAATTGGTCCCACGGTTCGAAGAACTTACCCGAAATCCCGATGGACACGAGCACGCATAATTATCCACAGAGACACCTTCATTGCATAACCCTAACTTCCCGCAAATGAACGGGATTCGACACTTGTCGGCCGGCTGCACGTATTCTTGCGCCTGAAGGCCTCCGGCGAAACTACTGACGACAAACTGACCAGAGCCGTCGATCCGGGCAGTTCGGAAATCGGACGGCGGCAGATTCACCGAAATCACGACAGCCGACCCGTTTCGACCTAACAAATAAAGTCCCGTTTGGTTGACTTCCAGGAACTCGACATCGTAGTTCGAGTCCACGTAAGCCTGGACATCCATCGACAGTTTCCAATAAACGAGGTTTTGCCACTGAACCACGACATCTGACAAAGTTAACGAGAGGTTATACCCGCCGGTCGACAGGTCATCACTCGAGACGGCACTCAAAAGCACAGCCGAAGGATAGAGCCTCTGCCCGATCACGATTGTGTCCGTGGGATGGCGAAAGCTTTCCCAAAGGGTCAAATTTGACCGGTCGAGCAGAACGAGATTTCCGATATCTGTCAGCTGTAAAGCAGAGACCGGAGATTTTAATTTCGCAGTCGACCATCTTTGACTTCCGTTCTCGTCACTAATCGTGATGCCATTGACGGTTAATGCTACAGTACCCGACTCAGACACGGGTGAGTCTCGGTTAGCGGACCATATGATCATGTTCGACTCGACGTGAATAACACATAAGTAGAATCGGGTTCTTTGAGAGCCGGGATTGAACATGGCTGCCTTGAATTTCCCGTTGGAAGAGAACAAGAATCGCCCGTTACCATCTCGGAATCTAATGTTCGAAGCTGTGAAATTCGGGTACACGAATTCCGTGAAGAAACCGGCCGACACGAGGGGTAAAGATATGGAGAGGAAACTGAGGAAGTAAAACAAGAAACCCATCATCAGACAACAACAGAGGATACAAACAAACAGAGGAATATGAAGATGATGATGAAAGAATGTGATTGGACAGAGCTTTAGAAATGGTTTTTTAACTCTGTGTCCAAGAACTCGGGCGTTGACTAATGAGAAATCAGTTTTATTACATTATAGTAATCAGCATAACAGTGATAGTTATTGTCAAGATATCAACTTGGATGTATAAATTAAGGAAAGACATGATGCAGGATGCTTTAGATCTATTTCTTGATTATTCTAATCTTTTGCCGTTTACTTTGTTATTATACAAATCATTTAGATCACTGGTCAGAGAATAAATAAAGCTAATCAAAGATCACGGATTTCCTATCAGAGCTTCACAACTTAAGAAATAAATGATTAGTTTATGAGGTAAGGCTACAGTCCCGTTACAAAATCATTCCGTTAGGATCTGTAACCGTTAGATGCACATTTATATTAGTTATCATGTGCATTTAACGGTTACAAATCTCAACGGAACGGTTCCATAACGAGATTGTAGCATTTTCCTAGGTTAGACTCATTTGCATTTAAAGCCCATATGTTTAAAGAATGGATTTTTATTCTTTTTATTATTTTTTAAAAATTCTACTAGATCATGTAAGGACAAATAAAGGGGAATATTAAATTTGGCAAAAGATTAAGGCCAGCCCTGTTAGAAATGAAGAAAGAATCTGAAATTTCAAGAAAAAGTTCTTGTGGGCAAAACGTCGAACAGTTTGGGAACATTACCTGTGTGAGTGAAACCAAAATGGCGCGAACGAGTCGAGCAGGTCACGGTCGAATCAATTGACCTACCAGACCGAACCTCGGGTCGATATGCTGAATTGGTTTTTTCCACATAAAATTTGAAACTGACTTTTTTTTTTTTTTTTTCCCAAAAAACTCAACAAACCACATAAAATTTAGTTGATTGTTGATACACACCTTGTTTGGCAATTAGTTGCCACATAAAATTTAGTTGATTGTTGATACACACCTTGTTTGGCAATTAGTTGACTGGTGATTGTATTAATTGATTTGATTAAGGTTATGTTTGACAGACAATAAACTAGTTTATAGCTTATTTGGTTAGTTTATATGCTCTCTGTATACAAATAAGCCTCGTTTGGTAGGACCAGCTTTTTAAAAAAGTTCGAACTTATTTGATAAGCTTATATAGGTAGCTTTTCAAATAAGCTTTGAATTTTTTTATTCCACCTAACTTATCAGCTAATTTTATCAAACACTTTTATTATATAAGCTATCTTTTCAACTATAGGTCATAAACTAAAAAATTACTGATAAGCTATAAGTTAGCTTATAGGGCCATCAACTATCAGTTAACTTATCAGCTAGTTATACTGTTTTACCAAACATAGTTTAAGAAATTCAATTAACAATAAGATACTAATTTAGGAATAATCCTTTTATAATATTTTTTCTATTTATAAGATAAAGGTCCAAGATGTCACGAGATGGATCATAATCAGTGTTTTAAATAGCGCGCTATATCGCGTGCAACAGCGCAAATTTTATAAAAAACGTGTTGTAGCGCACATAATTTCGCCTAATTTCAGAATATCGAGCGCTTTTCATGACATGGCACGCTATTTACGCGAAAACGTATCCTATTTACGCAATAGCGTACTTTACGGACGTTATTTGTGATAACAATTTTTAGAGTAAATTGCAAATTTGGTCCCGTTAGATTAGGACGGTCGCAATTTAAGTCCTTAAGAGCATGTTTGTTTATAAAAAAATTTGGATTTGTTTGGATTTTTTGGTTTGGTTTGGTTAATTTTGAAAGGGCAATGCTATATGTACACCCCCTTTTAATAAATTACACAAAGAAAAGTGCTATATGTACACCCCTTTTTTACACATGAGGGGGTGTACATATAGACACCCCCTTTTGATGTGGTATGGTTAGTTGTTAGTGGGTATATTAAAATAATATATAAAATAAAATGATTAAAATTAAATTGATGTAAAAGTAAGAGAGAGAAGATGTGATGTGATAGTTAGTTAAAATTATGTGAGTAGATGAATAGTGAATTAAGGTTGATGTGGTGTGTATAAATGATTGATTGATATTATTTAATTATATTGATAATATTGATGATAGTGGGGTTGAGTTAAAGTTGAGTTAAAAAAAATGATTGAGTTAAAATGTGAGAAATTTTTTGAAAATTCTTATAAACAAACATGCTCTAACTAATTTTTGTTGTGAAATTGGTCCACCATCGTAAAAAATTAACGGATATATCACGTGTGAGTCACGTGACCATTGGTCATTAGTTTGAAAAAGGAGGAATTTGCAAATATAATCCCATAAGATTGGTTTTGACTTTTGATGCAGATTTAGTCCCAAATGTTGAAAAACAGTTTTATTATTATTTTTTGTTGCAACTTTTATTATGTGAGTATATAACAATCTTTGATAGTAAAATTTAGTTTTGAAACAAAAAAAAAGTACTATAAATGATCTTACATATTTAAAATTAATTTTTATTAATAAAAAATGTATTTAAAAATTAATAATTTAATTTTATAAAAATATAAAAGTGTAGAGGTTAATAAAATTTAAAAATAAAAATAAAAGTAAAAGTAATATCAACACTATTGGTACGAAAACTCGGCCAAACTTGTTGTTAATCGAGAATCGATCAACTAAACGGTTTGATTCCTTTAAAGTTTAAATGAATTGGTTTCCAATGAACAAATCAGAATTAGTTGAATGGACTGGTCAATTATATATATATATATATATATATATATATATATATTAAATAAGTTAATAAATATTTATATTTTCCAATATAAAAAAATATAAATTTAAATACATTTGAAATATATAAATTCAAATATATTTGAATTTATATTATTATGTTTTCTATATTTAAAATACTTTAATTAACTAATAAATATATTTAAAAATAATTATTTAATTTCATTATAATTATATTGTTTGATAAAAATAAAAATATAATTGTAGAGGTTAATAAAATTTTAAAAGATAAAAAAATAAAAATAATATCAAATATTATTATTTTTAAAATTGGGCTAAACTGATTGTTGAATCTAGAATCGGTCAACTAAATGGTTGGATTTCTTTGAACGAACTGGTTTCCAATGAACCAATCATAATTGGTTGATCGAACTGGTCAATCATATATATATATATTAAATAAGGTAATAAGTATTTATATATTTTTTAATATAACAAAAATATAAACTTAAATATATTTGATCTATATGTATTCAAATAAATTTAAATTTATATTATTATTATTTAAAAAAATGTATTTGGAATACAATGTTTTTATATTTCAAATATTTTTTAATTAAATAATAAATATTTATAAAATCATCATTTAATTTTATTGTGATTATAATGGTGGACAAAAAATAAAAATATAACTGTAGGGGTTAATAAAATTTTAAAAAATAAAAATAAGAATGAAAACAATATCAACTACCATGATTTTGAAAAGTGGGTTAAACTGGCTATTGAATCTAAAATGAGTCAACTAAACGGTTAGATTCTTGTAAACGAACTGGTTTTAAATGTATAATGGCCAACTAAATAAGTTAATAAATATTTATATACTTTTTGAGTATAAAATGTTAATTTTAAATGTATATAATATATTTAAATTTAATTATTATTATATTAAAAAAAATTAATTACAATACAATGGCTTCAATATTTCAAATATTTTACTAAATAATAAATGTATTTCGAAAATTATTATTTAATTTTATTATATATATAGTAGTTGATAAAAAAATAAAAATATAATTGTAGAGGGGTTAATAAAATTTTATAAAATTACATAAAAGTAAAAATAATATTAACTACTATTGTTTTTGAAAACTGAGCCAAACTAGCTTTTGAATGAAGAATCGTCAATTTAACAGTTAAATTCCTTTGAACGAATTGGTTTCTAATGAATCGGGCATAATTGGTTGATCGGACTGATCAATTATTTTTACAGTGTTCACTACCATTTTATCAACTTAGACGAAAAAATACTTTTTTTCAACAATATTCACTACTATTTAATTTATATAATAATAATAATATAAATTTAAATATATTTGAATTTATATATATCAAATATGAGAAATTGCAAATTTTTTTCCACAATCTCAATTTTAGTCGTAAGTGGTCAAAGCTGTTAACGTTGACTTCACGACCAATTAAAATTGCAACGTCCCAATCCAACCGGACCAAATTTGCAATTTACTCCAATTTTTATAAGCAGAAAATAAAAACAAAAAAGAAAAGAAAACTAAAATTGAAGCCAGCGTCTCATTCTCACGGGCACGAAAAAACCCTCATTCACTTCTCTTCATCATCTCCTTCTCAACCTCACTCCACTGCTGGTCTGCAACCTCCACGGCCCACCACACAGGAACTTCGCCGCCTCCACCTCAGCCGCCACGTCTCTCGCCCGGCTCTCGTCTCTCCTCTCGCCTCTAGTCCCGGTCTCTGTCCATTCCCTGGCTGTTTCAGCCTTTCAGGTATCTCCAATTCAATCTCCGGCCCTCTGAGAATATGTTGATTTTGTGGCTTAAATGAAATGAATCTCGATTGTGAGGTTGTGACTGAAATTTGTGGCTAAAAGATATGAATTTCAGGCTGAAAATATGTTAATTTCGGGGCATTTGAAGCTGAAATTTTTGAATTTGTGATTGTGATGTCTGTTTGAGGTTGTAAGGTTGTGAATTCGGGGCTTAATTTGTGAATTTGATGAAATTTGTTGTTGAGAATTGTGCTTGATAGTTCATCTTTAATTGTGCGAATCAGACAAATGTATTAAGTTGGTTTCTGTTATAAATTTAAGGTAGAGACAATCTTCCAAACTCTATGTCCACCCAATATATCTGTGTAAATGCTTGACCAGTATTTGAAAGAGTTCATGGGTCAAATCCTCTTTCGTTGGTTGGCATGTGGTGTATGCTTACTTGCTTCGTTGCATTTGTTGAGGTAGCAATTTGAGACTGAATTCAGGGACTATTCTTCATCCTCTTATTCAGGGCCTCTTAGTTTGTGATTGCTTGATTCACAGTTTAGTTTTTGTGAAAATTACACTTATGAAATGATTGCTTGAGCCTGTCGCTTATTGATTCATAATTAAACTCCTCATCTCTTCTATTTTCACAAAAATCATAGTCATAAACCTCACAACGTCATTGATATCCGTTGAACTCTCTTATGCGTTTTGATTTTTTCGATTTAACCAGTCTTTCGCATTTTTCGCAACACACAGTGGAAATGAAGCTAATTCGTGCTGCGCTATGGTCCGCTAACGCCGCTTTGTCCCGTCAATCGCGAAACCCTTATGGGACGCGGTCATTTTCTGCCAGTATTTTCTCAGGTAATTCGTCTCATCAGACATCATTCAGTGTTGATTTTCCTGTTCTTTTGCTTGTTTCACCCATCTACTTAGTTATCTATTTGCTATGCTGTAAATGATTACAATGATATTTCTGTTTTCATTGTTATTAACTGTAATTTTTTGAAGGTTTTTGATTCCTCAAACTTTCTACTGTTGGATTGGGTTGAGGATTCAGAGGGGGGTTGAAAATGGAAGAGAAAATCGAAATGGAGGAAAAGTTGCTTGACTTTTTTTTTTTTTTCCTTAATTTGTT